CCCCCCCCCTCCATGAACACCCCCAAATTATGGACAACGCTCCATTGCAATAAGTAAAATAAAATATATAGTTCTTCAAACTAATGAGTACAAGTTCCTCATGTGAGTGTCCTTTGTGGTGTTGTGCCATAAGCCAGGTAGGCCAGGTAGGAAAGTATAAGACAGTCTATCTGATATTCTCAGCTTTGTCTCACTTGATAGTGAAACATCCAGAACGGTCACAGACAAAACATGAATAATTTGGTTCATTTCAATCATAGGTGAAAAAAGACTCCCTTGTGTGTCCATATTTTCATAATACTGTTATTGTAGAAGTGCAGTAGAGCAGTTATCTATGGAGTGAATATACATGGCGCAAAATAGATGGACTTCTCACTGGTCACATAGGTAGGTAATAGAAATGATATACATGTGATATGCTACTGAACATTTGATAGGGATAATCAGATAGGTAATTCAATTCAGATATAAACTTGTCATGAGTCAGTTTTGTGAACACTGGAAAGATAAAAATATCCCTATCAAACGTGGAGTAGTATATATAGATAAGATCAAGGTTGTTTGTAATCAGAACAAATTAGTGCTGTTTTTGATCTGAGTCATGTCAAGGTGACTAAGAGTCACCTACACATGTTTGGAGTAATTGATGTATTTGCTGTCTGAAAGACATGTAGACTTGCTACCATGTGAAGGTGTGCGACACAAGCTTCCTTGAATAAAGCCTGAAATGTACCTTGTTTATATTTTTGTGTCCTGTATCAGTTATGTGCAACTATCATTAGTGCCATAATTTGGGGTGTGGGGCTGTCCGCTGCTGCAATTCGGTGTGCAGCCTTGCGAGCCTCATGCAGGTGTGTCAGAAACAGGCCTACCAAAGAAATCCAGCAGAAAGCTACCGAACTATGGGATATGTACGCACTATAAATAGAAATAGACACACAAATTACAAAGACACAATCCCCATAAAGTTTGCTTTCTAATGAACATGTTCAATGGCACCAAACACAGTAAACCATGCAGATGGTTATACGATGGTTGTAGGGTCGTGTCTTTGTGTGTTACGTGCAACTATCAATGCCGTCATTTTGGAATGTAGGGGCACTGGTGGCCCAGTTGTCTAAGGTGCCGAAATTTGGTGTCTAGAACTGCATCCCTTAAGCTGCCATAAACCTGTGATCGTGGGTTCAAATCACTAGGTCTTCAGCAACCCATGCTTGCCGTAATGGGCGACTATGCTTGTCGTAAGAGGTGACTAACGGGATCAGGTGGTCAGACTCGCTTACTTGGTTGATGTATGTCATCGATCCAATTGCGTGGATCGATGCTCATGATATTAATCACTGGATTGTCTGGTCCAGACTCGATTATTGACAGACCGCTGTCTTATAGCTGGAATATTGCTGAGTGCGGCGTTAAACAACAAACCAAGCGCCCAACCAATCAAATCACAAAGGTCACACTGCACTACATACCGGTACTCAAAGTTGAGTGAGTTGGGTTTAACACCCATTGGAACAGTAAACCAGACCTATCAGAACGTCAGATTGATGTGGGAAACTTTACCACTAACCTGAAACTCAAGATATGCTGCTGACAAACCTAGAAACATAATCTGGGCGAACCGGGATTCGAACCCACGATCATAAGTTTCTAGCGTAACCATGGAACCTCCCTGTGCACCATTGCTGAAGACCAATATTCTAACACGGAGCATCCAAGGGGGATTTATTCTTTATTAGTTGAATGTTAAAGTGTCTGACCGAGCAGGAAACCTGTTATCTTTCATGGTCCAGGAATATTGTTCAGTCAAAAGGTACTCCCACTTATTAGCATCATATCTAGTCTCTAATAAGAAGAAAATTGTTTTGAATCATTTCCGAAGTAAATGTTAGATGTTCATGCATGTTGATTATCTGTGTCCAAAATGTGCTTAGGCTGTCGTCCGAATCAGGAGCAGTCATCTAGAAATATTCTCCAAAATTTCTGTAAAATAATTTCAGTTCCCCTCCAATCAGCTTGTCACAACTGTATAATCCCTTCAATCCTTATCCTCACAGTACATCTGGCTTCACTACCTGTGTGTTATTTTTATTCTTTCTGTATATTTGGCTTCATCCAAATATCTGCTTGTTATGTATTACCGTTGTTGTCTACGAGTGAGTGAGTTGGGTTTAACGCCTCTTTTAACAGTATTCCAGTTATATCGCGGCGTGTCAGCTTAATGTGTGAGGAAAGCCCGAAATGATGCGGGACGTTTACCACTTCGGTGAAACCCACGAGCACGGGTATGGTGCTGACAAACCCAGGAACATAATCGGGGCGAACAGGGATTCGACCCCACAATCATAGGTTTCTGGCGTGCCCAAGGGACGCAACTCTGCACAGCGAATCGCGGCGCCTTAGTCGACTGGGCCACCCGTGTCCCCTGTTGTTAATGTTAATCTGCTGCTTATCACAACATGTCATGCATGTATACCTCTCATCACTTGGTTGTTGTCACTCCAGCTTGATATCGGTGTGAGAATCTACATCGAAACGTTGCTGTATGCAATAAACCAGAAGTTGTTATCCCTTTTTCTTACTTATTTGCCAACTTCTAGAATGCCAATCAAACAGTTAATAAGAGTTTTGATAATTAAATGAATATTATCATTTTCCTGCCAAAGACCCCTCCCATATGTTCCTGAAAAAGCCACTTCCCGAGGCAAGGGCGTTAACTGACTATACAAGTCCAGTTTCCACCCTTGCCGAACTGGGCTGGAATTTTCAGGCTCAATCGCAGCGCAACCAGTGGCTATTACGAGTTATGTTCCTTCTATGTCCCTCCTAGTGCCCAGTCATAAACGATTTGATCGTATCTCAAGTTCTATATTGTAACAAAAACGGGTCTTACCCCGCGAAGTGCATCAAATCACTTGAACACCTTGATTAAAAACATGAAAAGGTTTGTAAAATAGCTGTCAACGCCCAGCTGACGATGCACATGTTTTGCAAATCCTGCAGTCGACCGAAATCTGCACGTTGAAATCCACGTCTTGTTTGTTACGCGGTTTTAATTGGACGATGCACATACTCGTTAGTCCAGCCAAAATGTAACCCCGGAATTCCAGCCTATTTCGGCAAGGGTGGAACCTGGACTTTTATAGTCAATTAACGCCCTGGAAAAATCGGGAAAGGTTTACCATTTACCATTTTAACAATAAAATACAATTTAATGTGTTGTGGGTTCTGTAAAAGTTTGGCTCAGAGAAGATCTGAAAATTCGACATAAAACCACAAAGGTAGTAATACCCACTGAAGCTAAGATTGTAATACCCACTGAAGCTAAGATTGTAATATTCACTGAAGCTAAGATTGTAATTGTCACTGAATCTGAATATTTATGGACTGTCTTAGTGGTCTAGTGAATAGAGTGGGGTATTCATGGTAAACTGCAGCATACACACAGACCTGATCGGAATGTTTATGATCATGCATCTGTCAGTACAAAGACGTATATAGATCTACTAATGTGTTTGGTCAGTGCATGAAGAGTAAAAGGAAGCTGAATACAATATAAGAAAGCATCAGCAGTAGCGTAGGCAGTCAAACAAGATTAACAGATGGAAGGGACTCATTTGTATCCTGTACACTTGCACTGTAGAGACAATGTGTTTCCTTAAGATCGATTTGCCCTGGCTCAGTACCCGATGAAATCTCTGTTGCATCTATCCAGAGACCATATAACAGATGGTCTCTGATCTATCGTAATTCTTCTTGTGTTGTCTACAAACGTCATTATTAATAAAGATCTATTGGATATTAATAAAGATATATTGGATATACTGCAAAACGTTTTTAAACCGAACGATACATATGGCAATATTTTATAAAATAAAAATTATCATTTAACCTAAAACTGCACCGAAATTCATTCACAAACATGTTTCCCTTCGGGTGGTCAGGATCGCTGACGTTGATGCATGTCATCGTATCCCAATTGCGTAGATCGATGCTCATGCTGTCAATCTCTGGATTACCTCGTCCAGACCACCATCATATACCTGGAATATTACTGAGTGCAGCGTTTAACAACAAACAAACAGACAAATCATGCTCAGACTCTGTGACTTGGCTGATTCCAATCATTGCTTATGCTTTGAGTCACTGGTGTGATTGGTGCAAACTCATGTATTTACAGGTAACCTAAATATAGATGTAATATCCACTCACACCCTCACCTCTGGAAAGTGGAAGCATGTTCAAGTAAATTTGAGAAGGTATGTGAGTGAGAGAGTGAGTTGGGTTCAACACCGCTTTTAACAGTATTTCAGTAACATCAGGGTGTGTCAGCTTGATGAGGGAGGAAAGGTCAAAGTGATGCAGGTCAAGCACATTTACCACTTTGGTGAAACCAAATCGGGTATGGTGCTGACAAACCTAGAAACAATTTGGTATGAACCAGGATTTGAACACATTTCTGGCGTTCCCAAGGGATGCAACACTGCACAGCGAAGTTGGTGGTCTCCCTGGAGTTTGACCTTGCTGAGAATGTGTTCCGGAGACACCTCAGCTGGGTACCTGGTGCAGGGAGGACACCAGTGCCCCCCCACATTTCGTGATCAGTACAAAAACAGCCCTAAGCGGAAGGTCCAGGGTTCGATCCCCGGTCGCGTCATACCAAAATATATTTAAAGATGGTACTTGTTGTTACCCTGCCAGTGATCGTCAATTAGGGTCTAAAACAAGGACTGGTCGGCTTGGAGTCAGTATACAGTGGTATTCATGTCAAACTGCGGCATGGTATCTCAGTGGACTAGCACTATAAAATGCGCATTAGACCGAACTAGTACAAGCAGACAAACACACACACATACATGCACGTTGCTATATAAGTGCAATAATCTTGAACACGACGTTAAACCTCTTCAACACCTCAACTCTTGAGAAAACATGCACCCCACATTATGTGATCAGTACAAAATGAAACATACTGTGGTGAAAAAGAAACACAAAATCCATTTGGTTCGCCAAACATTTAATAATCTTAAATTATACAATATCAAACAGAACTGACATCAAGTCACAGAGTCGTCTGGTTTCAAGTAGGCCTTGGTCTGGATCCTGGTGACCAGTCGACGGGCGTAGAAGTCCCGATACTCGGGCGGCAGCTCCTCCAGGGTCTTCAGGGCTCGGTCCAGGATCTGGGTGGCTCTGGCAGCAGGCTGGGGGTCCTTGTTGCCGTACGTGTCCTTGTGGTCATACAGGTCAGAGCGGAGGTGTCTCCAGAACACGTTCACAGCAACGCCGAACTCCAGGGAGATCACGTTATGGAACCATAGGGCTGAGGGTAGTGACAAAGTTTTATGATTATTGAATAAACCAACTTAGAGCTCTGGCACACTGAGCGACCATGCTGCAGTTTAACATGAATACCCCACTCGGACACAGTCAGCAGACCAGTTCTTGTTTTAGCCCCGTAATGCAGAGTGCCAGGTCCGGTAACAACAAGTACCATCTTTTAAGGTCTTTTGGTAAGATGTGACATGATTGAACCACCAACTTTCCATTCTCCAGCAAGTCATACTTTCCATGACACCATGTGTATGTGAGGAATCAGGTTAAACATATATATTTTACTCATAAGAATTTCCAAAAACATTTGAGTAATATTTCATAAGCAGCATAAGAAAAAAGTTATAGTAGTGATGAAATAACTTAAGATTAAAATGAAAAACTGAGTGCACACTGCTCTATTGACTGCGTTAATAATTCTGTGTGTGTGTTTATTAAAATAAACAAGAGGCCCATAGGGCCTGTATTGCTCACCCAGATATTTACGCAATCATGACAAAATATACATTTGCATTGTACATGTATATGATACCGTATTCGACGTAATAAGAGCCCAGGGCGCTCTCAAAATTAGAAATATGGGGGCTCTTATTAGAACATTATTTTGGTGAAAAAAAACACCAAAAAAAGATGAAAGAGTTGAAAGATTAATTTCGTGGTTTATGCTGACAGCCTGAAATGTTTATATGCGACAGATATATTTTTCCAGAATTTAATTGCCCATATTTAAGGTGCATATAACACACAAGTGCGTATTATACGCGAATAAATAAGTCTTGTGTACATTGATCAATTGGAAGGGGTGCTAATTGGGATTGTTCACTAGCCAATATATTAGCAAATATCGCCGTGGGCGCTTATTAGAGCGGGGCGCTTATTACGTCGAATACGGTACTGCAAATATTTCGTAAATTTGACTCAGCATTTAAAGGGGGTGGATGGCAAATCTGACAGCATGAACATGTATTTCTCTACATACAAATGTAGCATAAAGATCTGAACTGTTTCCATGTTATGATCCAGGATAAATCATATCAAAGGTATTACTCTCAAATAAATGTATACAATATATCTGTTTATCATAGGGTGGGGATAATATCAGTTTGCATGTTATGGTCAAGGTTCTAACTCCTTTAGGAGTGCCGGACAGATGAACAGAAGGGCCAGTCCTGGTAGCATATGTGCATTCCTCTCATTATACTCTCAATTGTACATATGGTTATAGACCCGTGAAGATCCAGGGTAGAATAGGCCTTCAGCAACCCATGCTTGCCGTAAAAGGCGACTATGCTTGTCGTAAAAGGCGACTGAGGGGATCGGGTGGTCAGACTCGCTGACTTGGTTGATGCATGTCATCGATCCAAATTGAGTGGATCGATGCTCATGATATCAATCACTGGATTGTCTGGTCCAGACTTGATTATTTACAGAGCGCCGTCATATAGCTGGAATATTGCTGAGTGCGGCATTCAACAACAAACCAACCATATGTTGGGGATCTTAACTGTGTCCAAGTTATAAACTCCATTTCTCCAGTTGGAATACCCACCATTGGAGAATGCTTCCAACCAAATATGGTTGATAACTATCTCTCTTCCCACCACCTAGGGATGCTTCCAGGTGGTTAATTTCCAATTAGTGGTTTGTTAATTTCCAATTAGTGATTCAGAAGAAGAAGTCGTTCGAATAAATTGGTGACGCATGGATGGACTATGACAGATGGATGACGGACGCCACAGTATCCCATAAGCTCACCATGGTCTTTTGGACCCAGTGAGCTAAAAATGCAGCAAAGAGGGTTTGGGTGATCCTGGCATAATCAGGCTGGTTAGGCTCATCATCAGCTCAGGGCCCTTGCCTCCTTTACATGCATCCCAGACAGCGAACGGGACTTCTCCCAGGAAGCACTGCCTAGTGGAATCATCATCATCATCATCATGGCTGGATGATGCTAATTCCAGCTACATTATGAATACATCAGCTACAAGCTAAATAGAATTGTTTCTTTGACACAACTATCAACCAAAACATTCAACTGAGCTTGGTGCTCATTTTCAGGAAAAGGTATGTAGCTAAAGTGATGACATAAATCCTGCTGGGGTATCATGCAGGAAGCCGAGATACTGTAAGTCCCCATGATCCCCAGTGAGGTGGCCTAGCTTTGGTTACTGGTGACCCGTGTTTTAAAACTGTATACATGATATTGTTACGCTCAAATATGTTTCATAAATTGTTTTTAAATATAACTTTGCATAAATGACTCAATTGTGAATATTTTCACTTGGTCTCGTTGCTATATGGCTTAAATAATGCTGATGTGACGTTAAATTTTAACTCACTCACTCTCACTCACCAGGTATGAAGAGAATGTCTCCTGGCTCAAGGAATCCCTCGTGTCTCTCTGCATCTGGAAACTTGGGGAACCGCTCCAGATCAGGACTGTCAATGTCAATGACCTCAGACTTGTCTCCTGGCAACAACAGGAGGATGATCAAGGCAGCTTAGTGATACAAGTACAGGGATTTACCTACAGTTCCAAACTAAGTGCCCTCATAGGCAAATGTGGAAAAGAATTTATAACTAAGCATTAAAGCCTCTACCTTATTATCAGTCCCAGACGAATTCTGTGATTCATTGATCGCGAAAAAGATTGGCAGAAATGTTCCCTCCTTGCAGAGTTGCAGAAAAATTAGCCATTTTAAAATCAATCAATATCCTAATTTTCATTATTTTCAAGATTTTCTGTCAAATTTTGAACGCGAATGATGCCCAAACATTTAACATGTGATACAAATATACAAAATGTGAATCCTGAATTAAAAGTAAATTTGAAATGAATAATTCTCTATTTTAAACCTTCTTGTGGTATTATGACTACATAAACCATGTTTACATCTAACCAAACATAAATATCAGTGACACTATGCATATTTATTTTTGCATAATTTTATGTCTTATCCAATGATAAGTGTTTATAATGACAGTTTGTGGAATCATATTGTTTTGGATTTGGATTTGAGTTTTCGAAAAAATGAGTTTGTATTAATTTTTTAGCGGGAAATGGTTGTTTTTAACGCAGAAATTTGCAATTTTAGCCACAGAAATGTTATCGCAGAAATCGTCTGGGACTGTGTTATCAAAGAACTATAAGTAATTTCTGTTGAGCTATAATACAAAATACAATTTATGTATATAAACAGTATGAATATGTCAGTTTCCCGGAAGAATATAATTGTCTTTTCAAGAATGACTTTAATTTTTGTTGTTGTTCTTTGTTTAACTCCGCACTCAGCAATATTCCAGCTATATGACTGCGGTCTGTAAATAATCAAGTCTAAACCCGACAATCCATTGATTTATATCATGAGCATCGATCTATGCAATTGGGATACAATGACATGCATCAACAAAGTCAGCAAGCCTGACCACCAGATCCTGCTAGTCGCCTCTTACGAAAAGCATAGTCACCTTTTATGGCAAGCATGGGATTTCTGAAGACCTATTCTACCCCGGATCTTCACAGGCCAGGTATAACTGTAAAAACTGAGTAAATCTGCATAGTGTTTTTTATGTTTATATCTCCAGATATGCAAAATCTTTGAAGTCAATTCCTATAAATACCAGGAGCCGGTTGAATCAAACTTTAATGATGCAAGTACCTAATAAACATTTGATACAAACCGATTTTTAATGATGACAATAAAAAAATAAAACAATTGGTTCTCATGCAATGACTTTTGAAAATATAGTGCAGGCAGGTTTTTGTTTTGTTTTGTTTTGCTTGTTCAAACTAGTATGTAGCCAAATAAAAAGTTGTGTACCATCAACCTGGGAAAGGGCCTCCCTACATATACAAGCATACAAACCCCTATTGCCGCCATGACCAAAGATAAGTAAATGTGCTTTATTGGATATCATTGTTTATAAGTATTAGGATTTTTTAATTTTTTTAAAAATGGAAATAAAACGAAACGTGCGGTGGACATTAGGATGATGCGGGCGGTGTCTGAGAACGAAGACTATTAATTTTTTAGCCTTATGTATCATTAGGTCTTAATGTAGCCATTAGTTAATGAAGGTTTGATATAACCGGGTCCATGTAAACAAGTCAGCAATAATAACTCAACAGACTGCTTATTTAATCACTGACACTGAAAACTGTAGACATCCATACAAAATCAGTGACATCAATCAGCACAATAGTGCAATGCAAGCCCCCCCCCAATGAGGAAACAGTTGTCCGCTAGGGACGAGGCCTTATTTGTTTTCAGTTTATGGAAATGCCAAAATTGGTTAGCCAATCAAAAGCCTTGGAATTGCTTGCAATTTTTTAAAATACATCACTTCAGTGATGACAAACACAAAAAAAACAATACAAACCATTCAGGTATAAATTTTCCACTTCTTTGGGGCTGAATAGCACCACCCGCTTGCGACCATTGACTTGTATAAGCAGGTTGTCCATCACCTATATATTGAGATGAACATGGTATCAATAACACTGAACAGAACTCATGAGTCTGACATGAACCTGGAATACAGTCAGGAAATAATCTGTCAGAGTGAGTGAGGGAGTTCTATTTCATTTCAAGCTGCTTTGAACATCATCTCAGCAACATTGCAGCATATCAGCTTGAAAACCAAAAGTGATGCAGGTCTTAGACACTTTGATGAAACCCACGGGCATAGGTAAGGTCCTGACAAACCTCGAAACATAATCAAGGCTAACCTGGGATCCAAAGCCATGATCATAGGTTTCTGGCATGCCAGGGGCGGTCGCCTAGTGGTTAAAGCGTTCGCTCGTCATGCCGAAGACCCGGGTTCGATTTGCCAACATGGGTGCAATGTGTGAAGCCCATTTCTGGTGTCCCCCGCCATGATATTGCAGGAATATTGCTGAAAGCGGCGTAAAACCATACTCACTCACTCACTCACTCTGGCATGCCAAATGATGCAACTCGGCACAGCTGAAACCTTTTGGTATAGACTCTACCTCTTACGGCACAGAGGGCAGGATATTACAGACCAGTGATATGATTATACCCTTACATCATAGTGGGTCCACAACTGTAGTCCGGGTGATGCAATACGAAACACGCTGGAGTAGAACTGAGATGGCTCGTAGAACTCCGGTAAGTGAATGTCCGCAGCCAGGTCAGGGAACTGATGATGAATATCTGCTATGTCTTTTCTAGGATCATCACCAAGAGCCCTCAGGTAGTAATGCTCTTCCTGAAACAGAGTGAGTTAGTGGAAGGGAGTGAGTGAGTGAGTGAGTGGGTGAGCAAGTGGGTGAGTGGGTGAGTGGGTGGGTGGGTGGTTGGGTGGATGGGTGAGTGAGTGAGTGGGTGGGCGGTCGGGCTGGGTGAGAGCGACCGGAAGGTAGTGAGTGAGTGAGTGAGTGAGTGAGTGGGTGGGTGGGTGAGTGAGTGAGTGAGTGAGTGAGTGAGTGAGTGAGTGAGTGAGTGAGTGAGTGAGTGAGTGAGTGAGTGAGTGAGTGAGTGAGTGAGTGAGTGCGTGAGTGAGTGTGAAAGGAAGAGGGAGGAGCAAGGGAGTGTTGGTTTCCTTTTGTAGTAATGATTTTGAAACAGTGACAGTTTACTGACAAAGAATGGTTGAATGAGTTTGAGCCTCAATCTACACAATTGGGACATGATGACATGCATCATCCAAATCAGCAAGCCTGACCACCCGATCCTGTTAGTCGCCTCTTATGATAACTATTGGTTACTGAAGACCAATTCTAACCCGGATCTCCACAGATCAAAATAAACCATAAATTGAGGTATAGTGACATTACTCTCTTAAATGGGTAACTACAGTAAACATATGTCTTTACCTCAGAGAGGAAAAACTCAGAGTGTCTTATTTCTGCTGCCCTTTGCACAAAAGTTGAAAATGGTAATGATCTGAAATGAAAAAATAAAATTCTGGCAATTAGCAATAATAATGGCTGAAGGGAAAAAGACTTATGGTTTTTATAATGATTAACATACAGGCGAGCAAAGGTTAAATGTCATTTGGTGAGAAAAGCCATACCATGTTATTTTAAGAAGGGTAACAAACATCTTAATGTCAAACAAAGGCCCCATAACCTTTATTTACATCTAAATACGTCTAATGGGCTTCCAACTAAACATAGTACTACAGAGTTATGAATACCGTATTTGCTTTAATAACATTATAAGTGCCCTATTGGCAGATGATGGTCTTTTAAAACCATACACAACAAGTTAAACTTGATGAAATACAAATGTTTTAAACAATGGTTACGATTAAATAACATACCCTTTCTACACTGCTGTGTTTTCTGAAAAAATATCTGTAGATCTAATACATTCTTCTGTATTATCACCAAATTTTATGATAATCCGTCAGTGTCCTTGAAAATTACCTGAAACTCTGTGTAGCCTACCTGTAGACAAAGTTTTTCTTTAAAAAATCCATCTGTGGAGTAGTGGACACATGGATCTTCACCTCCTTGTCCCCTCCTGATTTTCTGAGATGCTCAACTGACCATTTTTCTCTGCATGGCCCAATGTCTACACCTCTCAAAATAACTGGTACTCTCTGAAAAGCCAGTTAAAACATAAGTTTACATCACAAGATCAACACTTTCATTTAGAAACAGCCGCCTCCGTGGTCTTGTGGTAGAGCGTCCGACCGGAGAGCGGAAGGTCCGGTGTTTGATCCCCGGCCGCGGCATACCAAAAGTCGTTAAAAGATGGTACTCATTGTTACCCTGTCTGGTGCTCGGCATTAAGGGGCTAAAACAAGGACTGGTCGGCTCGGAGTCAGTATACTGTGTCTGAGTGGGATATTCATGTTAAACTGCGGCATGGTATCTCAGTGAGCTAGCACTATAAATCGGCATCAGTCCGGACTAGTACAAGCAGCAACAAACACACACATGTGCATGCACGTCGCTATATAAGTGCAATAATCTTGGACGCAACGTTAAACCCAATTTCACCTCACCTCATTTAGGAACATAACTGATATATGATTAAATTGTTTGATTGGCATTATTTAGAAGTTGACGGATGATAAGGTAGACACAATTTTATTGATAACTTCTTTAATACTGTAAAAAGCAATGTTACGGAATAGATCCACATTCGCCACCACAAGCCATCAATCAACAGAGATCAAGGCTACTTTATCCAATCCGCCTACTATGAACTCATCAAGCAATAATCACTTATCCTGTTTAATTGGCTTCACATCCCACTGGCTTCCACCTATGTGTTCTCTGTCCATCGTGTTGTGACAGTATTATCCTTCTGTTGTCAACACTTACTCATGTTATCCCAATCATGTATACAATTGTTGTTACTGATAATCCTCCAATGACGATTTATATTCTGTACTATTTCCTCATTCAGTCTTGTTGACAAGGATCTATACCGAAACGTCGCTTTTTACAGTATTAAAGAAGTTGTTATCCATCAAATTGTGTCTATCTTGATATATGATTGTTAACAATTTTTGTGCATCAAATTTATTATTTAAAAAAAAAATCTTTACGACTTTGTAAATTATTAGATCTATATTATATTGCATGTCATTCATCCATTTCAAGGCCAAAGTAAGAAATCATCTTCAAACGATACGCAGCTCAGGGGGTATTTTATGAGCGCTTCAGTCACCTGTAACAACGATAAAAGTTTACCATTCCTGGGCTTACCTTTGGATATACATCATTCAAGAATATCTCCTTTGTGGCATTGTGTATTATCGGTAAATCGTAATTCGTTTTAAATATCGATGTGGCTCTGTCATCATTCATTTGTTTTTGGTAAGCAGTTCTTCTTCACATTTGTATTAGTGAGAGGAAGTGGAACTCTTTACTGAAGAAAATCCAAACTCGTTTCTCCTGAAAGGGAGGCAACTCTAAACCAATGTGTATTTTCGAAAATGGCCTTGCGATCGATTTGGGCTCTTGGAGCGATAATTTACTCCAACATTCGCCCGCGTGTTCTTACAAAACTTTCAAAACTTGGCTTGCGGACGTTTCCTTTGACACACAGTCCAAATCTGAGTCGTGTTTTGTTGTGTCAAACATCGAAATCATCTAGACAGAACTTTCCCCAATTGTCCACCCTCGCATTCACAAAGCATGAAGATGGTTTGGGTAGTAAAATATGTGCGAGCAATGTGCCTGTCTCCAAAGTGGACCAACGCCAGAACACACGGTCTTTCTCTACAGGAATTGACGAGAGTGGGAAAAAACGTAGAATTCCATTGAAGTTAATGGAATTTCCTGAAATTTTATGGCCTAATATTATAAAATCAATGAAAAATAGAATTTTTGCCTTTTTGATAACAGGTTATTTTGATAAATCATTCACGATTGACTCTTTCATAGATGGATGCATACAGGTAAATCACTTATAGGGTTTGGATGCAATGCTAGATTTCAAGGTCTTATGTAAATTTAAATGCTGCACTCAGATTACTGGGAGTTTGTGATACTGACCACTACCCTCTTTTATCATTACACATTACTATTTTTATTTCTACAAAATATCGCAAAAAGAAATCATGGGTTACCCCTTTCCATTGTAATTACAAGGTGTATCGTGTTAGGTTTGATAATAACATACTTTGTAATTTGAAGGCATCACTGATATCTCAAGGCAAAGACGTTAAATCTTAACTCACTCACTCAAGGCAAAGGTGCAAATGAAGGGTTATCATTCTTTTTTATGCATGTCAATTAAACTTTGAAACTTAATAGAAGTTCAACATTGAGATTTGTGTTAGCCTTAAAATCTAGTGTTGCATACAGACCTGCTTATTAATAAATGATCATAGTTATTTGTGGTCTCATAATAGAGTTGGGTAGCCTAATGGTTAAAGCCTTTGCCGAAGACTGGGTTCGATTCCCAACATGGCTACAAGTGTGAAGCCCATTTCTGGTGTCCCCTGCCATGATATTGCTGGAATGATTGCTAAAAGCGGCGTAAAACCATACTCACTCACTCATAATAGAGTGCACAACGTAGAAGACCTGCATGACATTTGTCAGACCGCCTCCGTGGTTTAGTGGATAGATTATCTGCCTGGAGAGCGGAAGGTCGGTGGTTTGATCCCTGGCTGCATCATACCTAAAGACATTAAAAGCTAGTACTTGTTACCATAGTCAATAAGGGGATAAAACAAAGATTGGTCAGGTCGGAGTCAGTATACTGTGTCTGAGCAAGTGTCCATGTTAAACTGCAGCATGGTATCTCAGTGGGCTTGCACTAATAAACTGACTTAAGTCTTGATTAGTACAAGCAGCCACACACACACGTGCATGCATGTCACTACTTTTGTGCAATAATCTTGAATGCATTGTTCATCCCCATTTTATCTCATCTCTGACATGATAGTGTTCTCTAATAGAAGTGGTGTTCCAGTGGTCTCAGCAGTTGCGTTTTGCTAGGAAGAGTTGCCTCCCCTGCCCATGTCAGGAAGCACAGGTCATTGGTTTAAACCTCACCTCACCAAATTGGCAAACCTGTTTCAGTGGGGGCTTCCTCCCACATGCTTATAGGTCATTATATTTTCAAAAGCAATATCAAAACCAACTCACAAACTGTTCTGGCTTTGTTCTTCAGGCTGTGTCCCTTGTATCCAGCTGCATATCAGTGGGCAACTTTGACAGCCTGCAGGGACTAGTGGAAGATGAGGTAATAAAATCCCCTCAGTGTCTCTGCTGTGTCAAGTGTTTGCATGTCTTTGTTTGTTTGTTTGTTTGTTTGTTTGTTTGTTGTTTAATGCGGCACTCAGCAATATTCCAGCTATATGACAGCGGTCTGTAAATAATCGAGTCTGGACCAGACAATCCAGTGATTCTACCCTGGATCTTCACGGGTTTGTTTGCATTTCACATCAGCTGATGATAATGAATGTGTGCTAGATTCCGGGATTAATCTACCATCTTTTCTAAGTGTCCATGGCAGTAAATTTGGAAGAAATTTTTGCTGTACAAAATTGTAACTCTGTTTAGAGGTATCATTTTTTTTATTCAGAGCTATTTTTAACATATGGTCAATAATATACAGAATATCAAAAGGTTTACCACAAAGTACAAACAAATCGGTATGTTGATGACTTCAGTGTTGATGGGTTAGATTGTAAACAATGGTTTAAATGTAGTTGGCATCAATGTAATCAAACAGTAACCAGCTACCACAAAAATATTGTTAATGCTAAAACTTGTGAAATGAATTTGAGAAAAATAAGTACTGATCATTTTAACTGGTTAATGTCATACATCCAAATAATGTCAACATTCCTTGGGTAGACACCATGTTTAAATTGCACATGTCAATGTGTCATTTTGGACTTGGAGTTCATGTCCATAAAACCAGTCCAGTACTAGCAGGGTAGTGGCCATGTTAACCTTGACTACATAGCAGTGAATAGTTTCTTCATAGTGATTAACCATGAGAAAATGTGGATTAGAATTGGTCTTCAGCAACCCATGCTTGTTGTAAGAGGCGACTAATGGGATTGGGTGGTCAGGCTCATTGACTTGGTTGCTTGCATGTCAGCATTTCCCAAATTGTGTAAAATGCTCATGATGTCAATCACTGGATTGTTTGGCACAGACTAGATTATTAACAGGCAGCAGTAATAAAGCTGGAATATTGCTGAGTGCGATATTAAGCAACAAACAAACAAACAAACAAAAAGTCATTGTGATTTTGTGTGTATATGGGTTTCCCATCTGACCACTATTTTTTTTCATTTTTTAACAAGATGCAAAATCTCCATTCTAATATTGTCCTTATTTTATGCCACTAGCCACCCACCCCCAAACCTGCCTACCCTCTTTTTGGATGGGACCCGTGAATCTGGGGTAGAATAGGTCTTCAGCAACCCATGCTTGCCGTAAAAGGTGACTATGCTTGTCGTAAAAGGCGACTAACAGGATCAGGTGGTCAGGCATGCTATGTCATGGATTGATGCTCATAATGTCAATCACTGGACTATCTGGTGCAGACACGATTATTTTCAGACCGCTGTCATATTGCTGGCATATGGCTGAGTGGGGCTTTAGACAACAAATATATAAACAAACAAATATTTTTGGATGGAATAAATAGGAAACAGGAAAATTGGAAGCCTTGTCAAGTACTCGTTCTGTTTCCTGATTACTCTAATGTGTTAATGGGGCAGTTGTGATCATGATGTTGTACTGTTTTCTGTGCTTGTATTACAGGCCATTCAGGAAATCAGGAACTCATACGCAGATTTAGATGTCGGTCAGAGAAGATTTATCTGTGTTAATCCTCGGGATATCTTCTTCCGCTTTGTGTACGAGATCGGCATGATATTTGATGACCACTCAGGTAAGCATTACTGTGAAGATGGGACTATTGTGACACTATTGCCATAGTGAGTCTGCATTGTTTTACTATTGTAATATAGGTGCAACTATTGTGACAGTATTGCCATAGTGAGTCTGTATTGTTTTACTATTGTAATATAGGTACAACTATTGTGACAGTATTGCCATAGTGAAGTCCGTATTGTTTTACTATTGTAATATAGGTGCAACTATTGTGACAGTATTGTCATAGTGAAGTCCGTATTGTTTTACTATTGTAATATAGGTGCAACTATTGTGACAGTATTGCCATAGTGAGTCTGTATTGTTTTACTATTGTAATATAGGTACAACTATTGTGACAGTATTGCCATAATGAGTCTGCATTGTTTTACTATTGTAACATAGGTACAACTATTGTGACAGTATTGCCATAGTGAAGTCTGTATTGTGATACTATTGTAATCTAGGTAACTGTGAAGATCTTGGTTAGAATTGATCTTCAGCAACCTGTGCTTGTTGTAAGAGGCGACTAGCGGGATCAGGTTGTCAGACTCACTGACTTAGTTGATGGATGTCATCATATCCCAGTTGCATAGATTGATGCTCATGATATCAGTCACGCGACTGTCTGGTCCAGACTTGTTGAGACCACTGTCATATAGCTGGAATATTGCTGAGTGCAGCATTAAACAACAAATAAACAAACAAACAATCATAGGTACAACTATTGTGACAGTATTGCCATCGTGTGATGAGTATCTCTTAGTACTGTCGGGCATGGGTAGTTACTCATAATATCAATCACTGGATTATCTGGTGTCATCCTAAAGGTATAGGTAGTTACTCATAATATCAGTCACTGGATTATCTGGTGTCATCCTAATGGTATAGGTGGTTACTCATAATATCAATCACTGGATCATCTGGTATCATCCCAAATGCATGGGTAGTTACTCATAATATCAATCACTGGATCATCTGGTATCATCCCAAATGCATGGGTAGTTACTCATAATATCAATCACTGGATTATCTTGTATCATCCCAAAGGCATGGGTAGTTACTCATAATATCAATCACTGGATTATCTGGTATCATCCCAAAGGCATGGGTAGTTACTCATAATATCAATCACTGGATTATCTGGGCCAGATTCGATTATTTACAGGCTATTGTCAAATAACTAAAATTGCTGAGTGCTGAGTGCAGCATTAAACAACAAATACACTCTGATTTATAAAGCATGAGCGTTATTTTAATTATGACCATACTGTGTCTTTTCAGCAGGGTCTCAACCACTCATGTATGTCTTCCGCTGGTTGTCATGACAATAAATAGAAAAGAGCTTTTTGTATTTCTGTTTCTTTCAATATGCTGTTTTTGAACTTCCAAGCTGTATGCCAGTACAATGTTAATGTCAGTTGAATTGATTTTACAATATTTAAGAAATGAAGCAATTTTTCTTTCAGAGAGAAGATTTGTAGAGGTCACAGTGGTGCTTCAGGGTTTCCATGGTTACAATGAGGCCAAAGAAAAGGAGCCTGTGGAATATTACAATGAGGTTCGAGACAACCAAGAAAGATTGTATATATGCAACTATAGGTGAGTGTCTTCATAGGATTCATCAGTGTGTGCTTATATTTGGGATGACACTTTCTTAGTAAAGTACAGATTCAGTACTTTTTTGGGTTGAGTCCCATCCCGGATTCGAACCCACACTGCCAGAGTGAGGCACCTAATTGCCAGCACACAAAGTCAGTGATCTAACCTCAGTGGCTGAGTGGGTTAGCGCTAAGTTTCATGAAATGTTAACTGGTACGTGTATGCCAATGTTTCTATGTCTAATTTTGTTTTTGTGTTTTTTTCTTGCAAAGAGTGAAAACCAATAAAATGTTTAGCTCTAAAGCTTATAAACACGTATGGTTATACATTCTATGTGACAATCACAGGCTAATTTACTTGTACCCGCTGTGTAACACTGATATCACTCAAGAGTTCTTAAATGGGATGCCATAACAAATAAAGTGGTATGCCGGATGCCGAGAGTCGGGGAAGGCAGTCAAGGCATCCACTTCTATGTTTCTAGGTTTGTTGGCACCATACCACCAGGGATTGAAATGCATATTTTGCAAGTGTGCAACAGGTCACTTCTAAAGATGTGTCAGTGTGCCAACTGGAAGAATACTTTTGATCCATCTGCTTACTTCATGAATGTAATTTCACTGAGAACCCATTAAGATCCGGGGTAGAATTGGTCTTCAGCCACCCATCCTTGCCGTAAGAGACGACAAACGGGATCCGGTGGTCAGGCTTGCTGACTTGGTTGATGATCCTATCTCAATTGCCTAGATCGATGCTCAAGATGTCAATCACTGGATTGTCTGGTCCAGATTCGATTATTTACAGACTGCCGTCATATAGCTGGAATATTTGCCGAATGCGGCGTTAAACAACAAACAAACAAACAAACAAACAAACACTGTGATGAGAGCCAAACACTCTGTCTCTCCATTGTTTCAGGTTTATCCGAGAGTTCACAAAAGGCATGGAAGGAGATTGGAGCATCAACAAGCTCAACCACTTCTCTCCCAAAGAATTTACAATGATATGAAAGACTTGTGATGGACAATATGTACAATTTAGATGAAATGTTTAACATGTTTAATCTGGCACTGGGAAATATGAAGAGCAGTTGTGCCCTAACACAGTTTTACAGTGGGAATATCATGCTATACACAGAACTTTAACATGTTACGGTAGAGACAATGAAAAGAATCTTTACTGCTTCTAAAGTCATTCTTAAATTTGTTGTTGTGTTGCTTAAGTTGTTGAATTGATTTTTTTTAACAATGGTTTGTTTTTTCGACATGTACATTTGTGATTTCAGTGAACACTGCTAGAGCAAGGTATTAAATGATGTTGAGAGTATTGGTTCTCTGATCAAAATGGCCGACAGTGATGGAAAAGTGTGCCTGCACAGTTACTATTCCACCAGTTAAAGACTAGTGAAGCTCTGGAAGTACTAGTTGTTTTAAGCATGAAGCTACTAGTCCACTAGGAGCAGTCGACTACATGTGTAGTTGGATTTAACTCAAGGTGTCGATCCCTGCTGGAGATTTAGCATGTTTAGCCATGACCAGAATTATTATAAAATGTTCATTTTTTTACGACCCTCCCCCAGATATGTTTATTATATTTTTTTTACCCTCCCCTAGAGACTGTCATATTGTTTGATGACCCTCCCCTCATTCTCTTTGACCCACCCACCCTTGTAAAAAGTTACTGGTACCTAAGGCTTTAAAATATGTTTGCTTCTTATTGCTATATGCATGAAGGGCCCAGCCCATGTTGATGGAAGAGCATCACATAGCACTAAAAGAGCGTTTGTTTCTGGTCAAGGTTCTGCTTCTTTCTGGGTAGGTAGATTTAGTCCTTCATCTCAAATTCCTGAGTTGCCAAATCATGATCCTTGGTCTTAGTTCTGCCTGTTAGTTTCACTGAAGAGGAACATATCCATGACTCGAAGCACTTTCAGATTTCCTCCCCACATTAATCTGGCAGTTTTTGTTATCCATGAAATACTGTCGAAGGCAGCTAAAGGTTAAACCTGACATTACACTGACAGCCTGCAGAAACTATTATTTGTAATCTCCTCGTTTCACAATTTGTGGAAACAACTGGTTTGGTTTCTTGAGAACTGACACTTTTGTTAAGAATTGGATTTGTTAAATTGTTAATTGTGGCAGCTAATTGACTTTTATCCAATATACATCAATGATCCATTGATTATGATTTACCTTTTCTCAGACAATGGCCCCATTAGTTCTAAAATTATTTCATTATTTCAAAATATTTTGAAGCTGAAGGGGAGCCTGGCAGAACAGACCACCTCCGTGGTCTTGTGGAAGAGTGACCGCCCAGAGTCACATAAGGTCTGGGGTTCGATCATCAGCCGTGTCATACCAAAAGACTTTAAAAGATGGTACTTGTTGTTACCCACAGCATAAAGAGGCTAAAACAAGGACAGCTCGGCACAGAGTCAGTATACTCTGTCTGAGTGGGGTATTCATGTTAAACTGCGGTATAGTATCTCACTGGGCTAGCACTATAAATCGGCATCAGTCCAGACTAGTACAAGCAGACACAGACACACACACACATGCATGCGTCGCTATATAAGGGCATTAATCTTGGACGCGACGTTGAACCCAATTTCACCTCACCTCTTGGCAGAACACTATCCACTGGTGTGTCCACACGGACTTGATGACCATGAAGCATCTTTGAAGTACATGTACCATTGAAATGACCCTTACAATGTAATGGTTAGAGTCAACAGATGGTGTTGGTGTAGCCGTGTTATGAAGGCATTCGCTCTGTGTTTGATTCCCGACATGGGCACAATGTGTGAAGCCAATTTCTGGTGTCCCCTGCCGTGATATTGCCGGAATACTGCTAAAAGCGGCGTAAAACCATAAAACCATACTTACAGTCAACATATGTTTTCAACTGCAGACTATGCCTATATAGATAAGACAGACTATATATCATGAGCCGCTCGTACCTCCTACTGTGCGAAATGATCCTGTTTGGATTCTGGGTTAGAAGTCCCCAGCAACCTATGCTGGTCCTAGGAGGTGACCATCTGGATCAAGTGGACTCTATGACTTGGTTGATTGCGTGTCACCATATCCTGTCGGCGTGGATCATTGTCCACACTTATTGATTACTGGATTATCTAGTCCGTATTCAATTATTTAGAGGCCAGTGTCATCTAGCTGGAATATAGCTGAGTGGGGCATTAAACAACAACCTATCAGGGTTGCGAGAGGCAACCAAATGGATTGAGTGGTCAGGCTCGGTGACTTGTTTGATTCTGTGTCATCGTACCCTGACCATGCTGATGACATCGATTGTTCTCGCAAGATCGATTACAGGATTGTCTGGTCCTGCCTCAATTTACAGGTCTGCATCATTTGGCCGGAATATTCTTGAGTCCGGTGTTCAAAAACAAACAGACAAAACAAAACGAAGTCAGGGAAATTTGATGTAGAGTCAATGGTAAACCAACATGACAAAATCCATCACAGAACATTCATTGTCCATAAATGTTTTGGGTAGCACATATCTTCATTTGATGCGAGAGACACACAAAAGCATAAAAGACTGCCCATTGTAGCTTTAGAGCAGTTGTTGAGATTCTGAAACATGGATGTGCTTATACGCAACTATATACAGAGTTGTATGTACAACTGTTTAGAGCTGTTTTTTATGTTCTGTTCTGTTACGCTTGTGACAAAATGGAACTATTTCAGATCCAGAGACTTCTTATGGTAGAATTACTTATAACAGACAATACATAAACTTCTTTACAAATTCCTGTTAAAAGGTAAAATGGTTTGCCACAAACCCACATATTGAAACTTTTTGTGTACTCTTTTGTATATATATGTTATTGTTGATCTGTGTTTATGAAATAGGAATAATAATCAGAAAACTGATAGCAAGTCTATATTCCTTGCAGGATCACCATGTTTCTTGTTTATGGTCACATGGATAGGTTGTTGTCATGTATCTGCAGTGTCATCAGCAGGAATCCTAGGATTCGGGATCTATCAGGGCTTGACAAATTAATGTCTCAACTCAAACTCATGTTGAAAAAATATCCAATTTCAATCTCAACATATTAGAATGATAGGAAGTAAGTGGTAGTATGTTTACATGAGCATGAGTTTTGTTTATTGAAACTAATTTTGTGGTTTGTACATTTTCTGTTGGTCCATGATAGCTGCAGTTACTTGAGTTATCTCCTAATCTGTTCCTTGTTCAGTTTCAGTCACTAACGGATCGTCCCATAAAAGTCTGCCAAAACAATAACTAGTACAGGTTTGGGAAAACAAGATTGCATTCCCAATGAAAGAACCGCTAGTTCTTGTTTTCCATCTTGAATCCTATTCAAAATTCACTTTCAGTGGGACAAAGTTTATGTAATTGAAGATTTAGGAAGAGATTGGTATATTAGATTCTAAAATTATTTTATGGAGATGTAGAAGTGGGCTGTAGATCCTACAGCGTACATTCACAAACATTTCTAACGGGACAGTCCATAGTTCCTGGTAGTAACATATGCAACACTGATATAAGGCAAGGAACTGATGAGGGCCAACGGCAGCTAGTTCTGTGATTCCATGTGGTAATGGTCGTGATGGTGGCTCCATGCTGTCGTGATGGTGGCTCCATGCTCCATTTATTTCATATCAGGCAAGTTATGATTTTAAGGCTTTCAATATGTTCATGTTTCAGGGACACATTTATTTACCTGATGATGAAATGGATACATCACTCAAAATAATACCTGTTGAGTTGGGGGACAAACACTGTTTCCTGTACTAAGCTTTTGTTTTAAAATGTGATTTGAGGTTTTGTTACATGATAAATCTGTTAAATGGCAATTGGGTTTTAGACTGTTGATGACTACATGTTGAGGTGTTGAGGTTACTGAATTGAATTCGATTGGGGTGATGTGGGGTTTGGGATTGGTCTTCAGTAAATGATATATACCAGAGCATTCCCATGAATGTACTTGGGGATGTTGAGCAGATCTCTGTGTGCAGTAGTTTTGTCAGTTGTAAATGAGAGTTAGGATTTCCTGTGGTATTAGTAAAGTATACCTATCTGTAATTTCGTAGTCCTATGTATGTTCCAAGTTGCTGTTGATGACTTGTTTGCATTGAATGATGCAGTTATGTGAGGTGCTGTGTGCATGATGTCAAATACATTGACAGATAACAGTATTAAACTATTTTAGCCTACAATTTTTATTTGTTTTCCAGAACGTTTCAAATTAATGAGACATGAAGAAGGAACTGTGATGTAAACCTACTTTAAGGTTTCTTAAATGATCATCAGCAAGGAAGATTTTTGTTCGAAGGGGACATGAATGATTTTTCATACAAGGCAACATGAAGCATCTTTTATTTAAAGGGAAGTGTAAGAATTTTCATATTGGGTGACAAACAGGATATTTATTGTAAGGCGACTCACGAAAGATGTTTCATATTAGGCAACAAGAAGGATTCTGATACAAGGACATGAAAGATGTTTTATATAAGGCAACAAGATGTTTCATATTAGGTGAAAAGAAAGATTCTGACAAGGGACATGAAAGATGTTTCATTTTAGACAACAAGAAAGACTCTAATATAAGGGAACACAAGAGATGTTTCATATTAGGTGACAAGAAGGACTCTAATATAAGCGACATGAAAGATGTTTCATATTAGGCAGCAAGAAGGATTCTGATCTATGGGAACATAGAGATGTTTCATATTAGGTGACAAGAAAGATTCTGATATAAGGGACATGAAGGATGTTTCATATAAGGCAACAAGGGGAGACATGAAGCATCTTATCATTAAGACAGCTACCCAGGTGCGAAATCTTGGGAGTTCTATTGAACTCTGTTCCCTGTGCAGAAGCCTATATCAATAGAATCTACAAGAAGCCATATCATAACACCATAATTACTGGCCGCATTCGCAGATAAACTGCAAAACAGCTGCTGTATTGGTCAACTCACGAGTAACATGCCATCTTGTTTACTGCAACATCCTCATTGGCTTACCCAAGCACTTGATCCAGGAACTGCAGCATGATCAGCTTGCTGCTGCTGCTGGACTGATGACAATATCACGAAAATTTGATCATGTTTCACCAATGGTAAGAGAATTGCACTGGCTAAAAGTCAGATGTTAAATAATTCTGCTTCTGTATGGAGCGCAGAATGACCAAGCGCCAGTAAACATCAAGGAACTGGTCCATGTGTGAATACCTGACTTTTTTTTATGGACAGTAACTTCTTGTTATTCTTTGTATGACGTTTCAGAGCCTCTTCTTGCTTTTTCACCAGCTGAATCATCATTATAAAAAAAAGTTGCTATCCTTAAAAAAGTGTCATGCATTTTCTCCCAAGTTCGAAATGCCTATCAATCGACTTGATCGAGGTATATCAGCCAACAAGGTCATTTGACCCAGTGATCAGCACCTATAGGAGATGCCACCAACGAGGACTGCACCTATTTTATGGACCCCTCTTTCCCCTAATATAAGGGGACCGCCTCCGTGGTCTAGTGGTAGAGCGTCCGCCCGGAGATCGGAAGGTCCGGTGTTCGATCCCCGGCCGCGTCACACCAAAAGCAATTAAAAGATGGTACTTGTTGTTACCCTGTCTGACGCTGGTCGGCTCGGAGTCAGTATACTGTGTCTGAGTGGGGTATTCATGTTAAACTGCGGCATGGTATCTCAGTGAGCTAGCACTATAAATCGGTATCAGTCCGTACTGGTACAAGCAGACACACACATACACACGTGCATGCACGTCGCTATATAAGTGCGCGACGTTTAACCTAATTTCACCTCACCTGACATAAGGTGACATAAGGTGACATGAAAGATTTTCAATTTATGTTGATGAGAAAAATCTTTGATAGGGTACACGATTGGTATTCAAAACACAAACGGCGTCGAAACAGGCAAATCACAAGAAGACATGGTATTTTAATTGAGGCTGAAATAGCGATACCAGTCTATTATTGACGTTGACACGATTGATCTATATTACGAGGTGTCGAAGTTATCTTTGATGGAAGGCTACATGGAGGGCTGGCATGTATGATCTTGATAAAAGATGACACAAACCTAAGATAAAAGCTTCTCCCACATTAGACTGACACTCCGTGGTGTAACATGAATACTGTTCAAAGCGGTGTCTTCTCACTCACTTAGATAAAAGACGAAAAGAGATACTAGTACTTTCATGTAAGGCAACAAGAATTGTATTTGAAATATGGCAACGAGAAAAAATGCAAATTAGGTGACAACACTGATCTTTGATTAAGGTCAAAAGAACTGAATGATGTTTAACATGCAGCAATGAGAAGGGTTTTTCACAAGTTCATTAAAATAAGATTTTGTTTGTCCAATTTGATACCTCTCTGCGAAGATCTGCAAACCATTCACCAGTGGTCAC